TTAAATCATTGGACCTTGATTGATTACAAGTGTGTGAGTTTGTTAGATGATCTAATATGAAACCGTTTGGATGTATAGGTGGGAGATATTGTTAGTTTTAATTATTTTTTAAATTATTAGCATACGTATTGTTCTATTAAATTGTTCGGTAGGAAATTGTTTTGTATTTTGATGTTGTATTCAGTGACAATTCTTTTTATAATAAAATTTGTAATAAATTCTGTATTGCCATTCTATTCATTCCGTACCGTACTATGGATGTCTTACCGTCACGATGCATATTTTAATCACCGGTCTGTAAAAAAAGCAGGATATTGTTTGTGGAGATGCATGTTAAAGAAATATTCATCACTGGGGTTTTTTGTATGATATACGCATTTTTACTGTCTTGAGTAACTTAAGCTTTATTTCATATTTTGAAGTAATTAAAAGGGGAAAATACTGATTTTCCATACCGTCACTAGAGTTTTTGATAAAAATACTTAGTTGATTTTTTTTCTTCTTTTAAGAATTAATAATATTATGTATTTCAAGCATCTGGATGAATTTAATTAAGTACACAAATTCTAGTAAATGAAAAGAAAATCTATTCAACATTGAATGTTACGGTATGGAATTAAATTTTCCACGTCAATTTTAAAGTGACGTCATTACGTGAAAACCATTACTCCCAGTGTGTGGCCAACGAACATTTTACATCTTTAAACTTACGTTTATAGATTTTGAATTTTATTTTTGATAAAAGAATAACCTGAATTTGAGATCAAAATACATTTTGAAATGTTAACGTAACGAAAGAAATGTTATACAAAAGCGCCCTATTGCCTGAAACAATGATATTGACTCTGAGGTCAAGGTCAGAAATTCAAACCTTCTGTCTGTGTTTTACACTTTCCTTTCCGGATTATATCTTTAAAAAAATGCAATAAAATTTTATACCACAAATCCCAGAGAAGACACCTCGTTATTTTTAGGCAAAAGGTTAAGATCCTAAATTCATGCATTATGTTTTCATTTAAAACGGGGAATATCTTTAAAAAGTTTTGAGCTTTTGTAAAGAAATTTTTACAAAAGAACTCCGTTTGCTTAAAAAAATCTCTTTAGTTCTGAAGGTCAAAGGTCAATAATTCTGTACCTTACAAATAACAGTTTCCAGATGAAAACATTAGTTTTACTTGAGCTTTAATCAATTAAATTTGATATCATAGCTCATATGAGAAAAAGAAGAAACCTTTTGAGTTTGAGGTGAAAAGGTCAGGGTTCGTATGCATAAAAATTCTTAAGTCCTTAAGCATATACTGAAGTACCATTTTCCTGCTTAGCAGATTGGAATTATACTTAGCAGATTGGAATTATACTTAGCATCTTGCTTAGAATGTTGCATAAAACTTCTCAACTCTTAAGTATATGCTCAGTTTATGCTTAAAGTTAAGCATGGTCTTTACCTGTCTCAACTTCTTAAGCATATTGCTTAAGATATTTCAAAGAGCTAATCACACAAAAATAATTAAAGGAATTGTACAAAAAATGAAATAAAAATAAAATGAAGAGATTAAATCAATGAAATAAATAACAATCTACATGTATATGCATCTACTTTATTATGTGGTATTTACATACTTTATCGAACGCTAGCGATTTATTATCAAAACGGTTTAAAAATGACGTCATTTGATTGTTGCGTAGTTTTGTGAACGTCCAGCACATGGGACAATGCACCCCTTTTCGAGTCCAATTAATGCACCAGTGCGATGTACTTCTAGATATGTTAAATTATGTTTACATTACGTCAAAAGAATTTGATTTACATGTACCCTATATTACACGTAATCTATACAATCATTCAATCGTCAATCGCAGATCAACTAATACATCAAAAATAAAAAAGTAAAATATAAATAGCTCAAATCTACTGATTAGGTAACGAGAGAGAGAGAGATTCTAATGACTGTATTCAGAAAAAGTGCCAAATATTACTCATGTGATTATATAAACGAATTAAACCTAAGTTCATCGTGGAAAAAAAAGTGTACACTATGTCCTTTTATTCTCTATAAATAACTTCAATTTCAAAACTTATAATTAAAGTCTGATTCACTATCCTCTTAAAAGTTATAACAGGAAGGTAAATCCTTAAATTAATATGAATTATATTTTCATTATTTTATTTCTTTATTTTTTTCTCCATTGTGCTTAGACACAGATTTGAAGTTAATATTTTCTCAAATGTTCTGTATAATATCACGACTTATATATTGCAATAGCATTTCACACGAAAGTATAATTAAAAACTTATTTTATCTGGAAATTATTGGAACTACGAATTCCGGGACGTGCTTAACTAACACATTTTTGCACTTACATAAATTTTAACTTTATTGTTAATATTTAAGAAAAAAGCGATTTTGTTATGTGTTAATGAAAAATATTACATCTAAACTCCGGAAAATTCAGAGTAGAAATGTTCGAAAGCAAAACCAACTCACTTGTATTGTCAGTCCGTGCTCTGTGATGTGGACAGAGTTTAACAAATTGAACACACCCGTGAAACGTAAACTGTTTTCGTAAACAGGGCACGAGCTCTGTTATTGTTAATGTTTACGATTCACCGGGTGTGTTCAATTGTTAAACTCTGCACACACCACCGAGTACGGACTTACAATACTGTGTGTGGGTTTTGCTTTCGAACATTTCTACTCTGAATTTTCTGGGTTATAGTTTTAATATTTTTCATTAATACACAACAAAATTGCAACTTTTCTTAAGTATTAAGAATAAAATTAAAATATGTGAAAGCGCAAGAATGTGTCAATGCAACGCGTCCAGAAATTCGAAGTTTTAATAACTTCGAGATGAAATAAGATTTTTATTATATTTTAGTTTGAAATGCTATAGCAACATATAAGTCATGAAATTATACAGAAAATTTGAGAAAATATTAACTTCAAATCTGTGTCCAAGCACCTTTAAAACTTGTGTATATTTACAATAAAGTGAAAGCGGAAGTGACTTTATTGTCATGGCAGCAGTGTACTTAGCAGATTCCGATATGCTTAGCTAAGAATCACTTAGCATATGTTGCTTAGAAGTTTTATGCAACGGAATCTAAGCATCTTACTTAGCTAAGCATAAGCTTAAGAAATTTAAGTATATACTTAAGAAAATTCTTAAGAATTTTTATGCACACGAATCCAGGGGCTTTTTTGTGCGACAAATTCGTACATTCTGTGTTTTACACCTTTTTTCACATTATATTTTAAAAAAGCTTTTTAAAACTTTGTCTTTAAATGAAATTGAGATTTTGCAATGAAATTTTATTTCGAAAATTTAAATTGCCTTCTTAAAACATTGATTTGAGGACCAGAAGGCAATGTCAGAAATTTGTGCTGCATTTTTAGCTTCGAAGGAGAGGGAGTATACTGTTTCACCTTTGTGTGTCTGTCTGTCTGCCCGTCACAAATTTTCGTCGCAGTTTTCTCAGCAATTTATCATCAGAGATGTTCGAAATTTAAGCACACTCTTTGTCTAGGCATGTCATATGGTGGGGTTTCTTTTGGTACAAATCCGATGTCAACTTTTGTTTATCCGTGCGTCTGTCCGTACCAAATTTTCGCTGCACTTTTCTCAACAACTACCGGTACTCAAGGCAGATGCTTGAAATTTTAGCACAATCTTTGTTAAGGCATGCCATATGGTGGGATTCATAAGAGCGTATATTCACATTAAAGCGGGGGTTTTACTAGTGAGCATTGGCTCACAGACTTCTTGTTTATATTTAGGTAATAATTTTAGTGTTTCTGTATGATTTTGCAAGGAAACTTTAGGTCTCTTCTGGAAAGGAAGTAGAAAATGTGAAAAATTGAAGGCGGAAAAACGAACAGCGGAGAGACAGGCTGACTTACTCCGGAAAAAATGTGATTCTAAAGCTCACATAGCCCTTCAGCTTAAAGTTGCTAAACTAATTTTTGCTAAGACGGTCAGTCACCTTTACCAGATATCTGGTGAAAGTTTTTGCTGTAAGAAAGGAAAATTGAAAAGAATGAACAGTTTGTTTCAGAGAAAACGCTGATGTAAAGATTAGTCCTGAAAAACGCTGATTAGTTAACCGACATTGACTCGTGAGGTGTTAAACATGAAACCACCTTCACAAAAAATTTTCCTCAACCTTTTCCTCTTGTTTTCTGACTAAAATTGTATTTGTAGAGCTACAATATAGCATTTTTTTCTGATTTGAAAGCTATTCATTATAATATTGTTTTTAGGTTTCATTTTTTGAGTTTCATTTGTATATGACATGAAGTTGGTCATGTGATCAAATCCTTTAACTCCGGAGGAGCCAGAAAAATCTTAATAATTGCTTTTTTTCTTATTTTCATATTTCGTGCAACAAATAAAATAATGCATTATTGAGCTATACTTTCCAAATGCTTTCCATACGGAAGAACGTCTGACCAACTTCATATCATTGAAAATTGAATGTCAATTTGATTTGTATGGACATAAAAGGAAAGACATCGGCTAATTTGAATTTTTGAAATTAAAACAGTTCATTCGGAGTAAAGCGTGTTTTTAAACGCTTTTGAAGAGTCTAATTTCCACTACACTATAATAGCTAACATTATATGTAATAACCGTTCATTTCCGAATGAAAACATCCATAACAATGTACCTGATCAAAAACAAGAGGAAGAAAGCAATGATACAGAAGAATGTAAAACTACTATTTTAAAGGAATTCATAAACCTATTAACTGAAAATTGCACCTCCCAAAAAGAAACTCCCACTCCAGCTTAATAATCTACTATTAATAGTAATAAGTCAAAAACGTGTGGCGTTACATATGACAGTTATTCCTTTTCCTTGAAAAATGATTTAATAAAAGATGTTGAGAAACCTGGTAACAATTACAATAGTCAGAAACTGTAAACATTTGATTAATTACATCAAATATGTTGTAATGAGAACAGGATTAAAAGAATATTTCTTTTAAAATTATATAGTTGAAGGACCTTCTTGCCTTCATTTGGTTGGCAATATTTGTGGTATTTGGAGTAGGCATATATTACCACGCCAATCTTTGGCCAGATCACCTGTACATATTTGGTGACGGATCCATAGAATCATGGAGGATCTGGAGAATTATCAGCCTTCCCTACTGGCAACTTTATGGTGAATCTAACGAAGAATACATCAGCGGTAAATCTTATTTAATAGATCAAGAGAATTCTATCATTGTTTAACATATGCTGTTGTAGCATAGGTAGTTATACTGGCTGTAATGTTAAATCTGTATTAAGAAAAAAAGTGAATTTCATATATGTAGTGTATCAGTCTCATACAAGTGTTTTGGACTTGCAGAGACAGCTGCTAGGAGCAAGGGCTGCATCGCCCTAAGGGCAAGATCACTCCGTCTCGCTCTGGAACTAAGGGGATGTATCGGTCTTAAATTTTAAACCCTTATTACCTTTTTATATGTGTAATTTAGAAGTAAAAAATTGTTTTTAAGTTTAAAAATGATAAAATATTGAAACTGCTGTTTTCAATAATTGCCCCAAAAGATGTTTTCGTGACGTTAGAGAGGTTTATTTAAAACATATTTACACAACATATTTTAAACACGAAACCGACGTTTATTTTATTTGATTGTAAGAAAATATGAAAATTTCTTTTAGTGCCATGTTTAAGTATATGCATTGTAAGCTGAAACTTAGTGATTATAGTATAATGTTCTGGCCTGTGATTAAAGGTAACACGTTTGACACTGAAAAGAAAACCTAAAGTTTGAAACCTTGAATTCCAAACAATCAAATGAGATGTGGTACGAAAAACGTTTCAGAAATACCCGTTATGATTTTTTTTTAAAATGGTCAAAAACTTTCTCTTCATCATTATTTTCAATTTATCAGCGACTTTTGTCAACATCTTTTCTTTTACGATTGACCGTTCACGGTGGCTCAGTCGGTAGATGGCTCGCTTCGTGATCGGGAGGTCGTGAGTTCGAATCTCAGCCGCGACGAAGTCGATAAAAAATGGGTAGCAACTGTTCTTTCGCCATGCGCTCGGCACTTTGAAGTGATTGATTGATTGTATGTTGTTTTACGTCCCATTCGAGAATTTTTCACTCATATAGAGACGTCACCTTATACCGGTGAAGGGCTTCAAATTTTGACCTTTACTCGGCACTCAGGGCCATTGAGCAGTGAGGGATCTTTATCGTGCCAACGCCTGCCGTGAAACGGGGCATCGGTTTTTAAGATCTCATCCGAAGGACCCGCAACTTTCACTTCAAAGTGCCGAGCGCATGGCGCATTTTTATCGACTTAGGTCTGTCGCGGCCGAGATTCGAACTCACGACCTACCGATCATGAAGCGAGCGCTCTACCGACTGAGCTACCGTGAACGGTCACTTTGAAGTGAGAGTTGCGGGTTCTTCGGATGAGACCGTAAAAATCGAGGCCCCGTGTCACGGCAGGCGTTGGCACGATAAAGATCCATCACTGCTCATAGGTCAAATGTCAAAGTTGTTGGTATTCAAAGTAAGGCCTTGTGACAAGGATACATATGTGAAATTTGAAGTTTTAGCATCAACTATTCAAAAGTTATGGCCAATGTTAAAAGGTCTCAAGAGTACGTCAAACTCCAAAGTCATGGTCAATGGGCTATATATTGTTGGTATCTAAAAGAAGGTCTTGTCAAAAGAAATACACATGTGAATTATGAAAGCACCATCTGTTCAAAAGTCATGGCTAAGATTAAAGTTTTCCAAAAGTAGGTCAACCGTCAAGGTCAAAATTGTTCGTATCCAAAGAAAGGTTTTGTCACAAGGATTACATTTGTTTTTTGTTGTTTAACGTCCCTCTCGAGAATTTTTCACTCATATGGAGACGCCACCACTTGCCAGTGGAGAGCTGCAAATTTTGACCTATACTCGGCATTCGGGGCCATTGAGCAGTGAGGGATCTTTTACGTGCCAGCACCTACTGCGACACGGCACCTCGGTTTATACGGTCTTATCCGAAGGACCGGTCTCCACGTCGCATAGTTGGATTCAAACCGGCGACATAAGGATCAACTCCTTACTCCGCGACTTAGAGCAAACGCTCTAACCACTGCGCCACGGGGGCGACAGGATAACATTTGTGAAGTATGAAAGTCTCAGCACCAACAATTCAAAAGTTATGGTCAAGGTTAAAGTTTTTCAAAAGTATGTCAAACTCCTAGGTCAAGGTCAAATTTGTTGGTTTCCTAAGGAACAAGAAATACACATGTAAAGTATAAAAGCCCTAACTTCAACCGTTCAAAAGTAATGGCCAAGTTTAAAGTTTTGTAAAACTGGGTCAAACTCAAAGGTCAAAAGGTCAAAGTTGTTGGTATCCGAAGGAAGGTCTTGTCACAAGAATTACTCAGGTGAAGGATGAAAGCCCTAGCACCAATTCAAAAGTTATGGCCAAGATTAAAGTTGGTTTCAGTTTTGCAAAAGTGGATCAAACTCCAAGGTCAAACAAGATGGTACCAAAAGGAAGGTTGTGTCACAAGGTATACACCTGAAAATTGCTCCAAACAATCAAAAGTTTTGGGTAATGTTTAAGTTTTTGCGTACAAACAGATAAATGGACAAACAGACGGACGGCCAGGGCAAAAACTATATACCCCGTATCTTCGATTACGGGGGCATAAAAGTTTCAGTTCATAAACGAATGAGTACATAAACGTACAAAAAATATGTAGGATGGTATACGTACAAAAAATATGTAGGATGGCTCTTTGAATTTGAGCTAAACTCAGGATAAAACATCTTTTAGTCAACTAAATGGTCTCTTAAAGGTCTGAAAAGGTGACCAAATGGAAGATGTCTGTAGGTAAATTACCTTTTAAAAAACTTTCAGTTACCTTTCAGTTAACCGAACAGCAAAGTTGTACTCTGTGTGATAAGTGAAGTCAACATCAAAGGGAAGGTCAGTGTAAAATATTTTCATGTACATGTGTCAGCATATTAGATTGTTTGGACAATCTTGCATAGTTTCTTTATAACAGAGCTTAAAATTATTTAAAAAGGTGAGGTCAAGGTCAAATGAAGTATGTGGATGCAGTTGAATAGCTCTCATCAGTGCGTATAGGCATATAGGGATTGATATTCATGGCGGAGCATAACAAAATCCCGGGCCGAGAGTAAGGTACTTTTTCTCGTCAAGGTACAGCATAAAGCTCTTTATTAAAGATATTTTTCAGAAATAAAAATCAAATTACCGTAATGTACCTCTTTATCTTTAATAGAAGATTTGGGGACGTAGCTTTTGCTCTGTTCGTCCCTCTGTCTGTCTATCTGTATCTTTACCATAAAAAAATTACCTTAGGCCAAAATAAAAAATACCTTTGTTTCCCCTAACGCGACCGACCCACTTAAATCGCGCCGACTTAAAAGTTTTTTTTTAATAAGATTATTCAAATATTTTTTTTTTATTTATCAGCTTTTTAAAATTCAATTTCTTCAAAATCCGTTTTTATCAGAACGGCTGCTTTTGTTCTACTCTGAATTCAAGCGTTTGTTGGAAACAAAATGGCTTCCACAACACGTGGTCACAAAGGGCTAGTTCGTGTTAGAAAAAAAAAACGGCGACCTTTTATATATCATTAACTTATTAAAATCCTACACTCTTGAAACAGTTCGCTAATTTAATATACCATGACTATCTAAGGAGTGTTTCGATGGTATTTACAAATGTGTCTTTACAAATTAACATATGTCGTAAGCATGGCAAAGCCTGCCTCATGGGCAGATGAAGGGCACACCTTGTGACGGTTTTGTGTACATATCAATACATTTCACGGTATTTCATTTGTTTTGATCTAATTACCAGTTCATGTATGATCTCATTGCAGCCCGGAGGACCGGGCTGTTCTATACATATAAGTTTAAGTGTTGGTATATGGGGATTGAGGTGGGAGAAGTTATTCAAAATTAAAGGTTTTCTAAACATTAAAAAGATTGTTAATCAGAATGTTCTTTCCCTTTATAAATTACGAGATACACAATATATTTACTTCCATAAAGTGAATCTGTAAAATATATATGTTTTTCATATTTAATATATAAAGTTGCTTATCATTTACTATCGAAAAAACGACAGGTCCCTTTTTTTAGAACATCGAATTTTACTTATCGCATAAAAACGTAAAAATGTACTTTACACAGTTCGTGTTTTATATTCTTAAAGTGAAAGATATTTCATGTGTCTGGTTTCAAATTATATTTTATGCAGCCAACATTTACTTGAGGAATTGATAAAGTTTAAAAGGGTATCGTTTTTGTTCGATTTTCATCCGACTATAAGTTTCAAAATATTCTCGACTATCGTCTCCATCATTTAGACGCATGCCTTTTTCACACATATCGAAGCGTTTTGATGATAAAGACTCATTTCCATTGTTTACTTTATTTATTTCCCGGGCGACAATTGATGGTTACATCAATGTTTTCTTGTTTTTACTATGTGGGACCATAGCAGTTGTAATATGTCTTTGCATAATTATTTCATCCTGATAAATATAATTCAGACGTTGTTGCTTCATTCCTTTTATTCATAGGTTAAACTTCGTGGAGATAACATTGGATATAGCATTTTAATCATTTTTTTTTAGATATGGTTTGGTTGAATTAAATATTGTTTATACAGATGCACATGTACATGACTGTGTACTCTTTCCAAATAGTTTTGAAATTGTATGCATATGGTACGGCTTCCTGAGACGTCAAGTGTATTTTTCTTTAGTTAGGACCTTAGAAATAAGGTGGTTTCTTTGCTTTGAAATCCCTTTAAAATTGTTGGGCCACACCATTTCAACATTTGCCTGGTGGGGGCTTTAAATTTAGACTTTTACTCGGCGCTTATGACCACTGATCATAAAGGGTTCTTTTTCGTGCCAGCATCTACTACGACACTGTATCTACGTTTTACGGTCTCAATCGAATGACCGGTCTTCACATCCCACTTAGGAACCTGTGACTTGGAATAAGCTCCTAAATTATGTAGTGACTCCAAAACGAAAAGCGTTAGAAGACTGCGCCACGCAAGGACCTTGAAAAATTACATTGCCTGTATAAACGTGAAGATGAAAATAGGTTGAATATTCGATTTCAATAGATTTACTCTGGCGTGAGATATTTCACAAGTTCGGAGTAATAATATTTGTGAATAAATGTACCATGATGTTGCTTTTTGAAATTCAATTGTATGTTTTTTATGCTCTTTCTTATTTATAAGAATATTATTCAATTTTTCAGAATGTATTTTCAAAACTGCTGTCAAAAAAAAAAATATTTACCTACCTACCTACCCAACATGAGATACTAGGGTCGGGTTAGGGGAAACAAAGATATTTTTAATGATGGCCTTATATCCTACTTTTGATTGGTTGGAGCCATATCTTTCATATTTACAGTCGTATTTCTTGTAAAGAAAACTTTGTTTGGGTACAAAGATAATTGATATCCTGACCTTGTATTTGACTTTTTTGCACATTTTTACTAAACTTTAACCCTGGCCATAACTTTTGAATGGCTTGTGATATGGCTTTTATACTTCACATATATATTGTTTCCTATAAAACAAATATTTTGACTTTGGAGTTTGAGCTACTTTAAAAAAAAGAAATTTTAAACCTATGTATGAGTTTTGAAAAGTTAGTGCCAAGTCTTTAATGTTTTACAGGTTTATTTCTTGTAACATGACCATCCCTTGGGTACCAAAAATTTTGATCCTTTAACCTTAAACTAGGAGTTTGGCTTATTTTTAAAAAAAATTAACCTTGACCAGGATTTTTGAATAGTAATTGCTAGACCTTTTATTTTCCATATGTATATTCCTTATGACAAGGAATATACTATTTTAAAAATCTTTAAACTTGGTCATAACTTTTGAACGGTTGTTGCTAAGACTTTCTAATTTTGTATGTGTTTTTATTGTGACAAGACATTTATACATATATTGGTATCATTTCTTTTTATGGCCCCCCTTGGAAGAAGGGAGGGCATATATTGCTCTGCTCCTGTCTGTCGGTTGGTCTGTCTGTCTGTCTGCCCATCAACATTTTTGGTTCATTTTCTTCGCAGAGGTTGCACATAATGAAATGTAATTCGGTATACAGATTTTTCATACATGTAAGAATATCTAGGTATAGTTATGTTTTGGGTACGATCGAGCAATTTTTGATAGAGTTATGCCTTTGACTTTGTAAAAAAAATCCCGTTGGTTTTTTTTTTTTTTTTAGTTTCCGTTCATTTTCTTCGTACAAGTTGAACACACTGATATGACATTTGGTGTACAGATTTATCGTAAGAATATCTCGGTTACGTTCCGATTTGGGTACGATCGAGCAATTTTTGACAGTTATGTCCCTTGGACTTAGTAAAATTCAAATTATTTGCTGTTTCCGTTCAGTTTCTTCGCAGAGGTGATATGAAATTTTGTATACAGATTTGTCATAAAAATATCTAGGTCAAGTTCTGTTTTGGATACGATCGAGCAATTTTTGACAGTTATGCCCCTTGGACTTAGAAAAATTCCATTTATTTTGGGAGCATAAGTGTTTCACAAACATGTCTTGTTTTCTAGATGTTGACTTTAAAGTTTGACTAGCATTTGAGAAACTGTTACCTTAGCCATGAGCTGCCATACGGGGGCATCACTTTTCATAAACATATCTTGTAATATCAGAAACCTTGACTCGCAGTATGTTGTAGCTGGGTGTACACGCAAAACATACACCTTGCAGGCGTTTCTGAAGTATAGGTTTATACACACTAGGGGGATCATGGCATAAAAAATGTTAAATATGAAGATAAATGAAAAGTATTCAAGCTCAAACATTCACTGAATACAGATTGGGAGCAGATTAAACATGGAGATCAAAAAGTACAGAGGTTGGCTCGGTAGTGGGATCAAGTGCTTAACTACTCATTCCCTGTAAAGTATGTAACTAAATTCCTCCTTATTTCGAAAATATATACACACACATTGGTTTACACACAGGATTCTGAAGCTTGGGGCTCTAAGCTAATTTAGGGTCATAAAATCCATTTTTGAATCTATAAGAAAGCCGACTGATAACATGATTTACACTTAGGAAAATTGTCGAACCCTTAGTTTAGACATGGAGGACAAAACGTCTGTTGTTGCTTCAAATGTTTTTCATTTGATTAACGATTCTGAGAAATACTTTGTTTTATACCTAATCAGGAAAGGACCAGTCTGACTGTACCAATATTACGTCTATTTGGACAACAGACCTATCTCGAGAGCGGTGCCCACGCGAGGACTGGACGGTTGTTTTGATTGCTGCATTCTACATGTTATTCTCTAACCTTTTGCTGGTGAATCTAGTAATAGCTATGTTCAGGTGTGTATTGTTTTAACTCCAACCGAAAAAAAACGTATGAGCAAAAAGGTTTTCTCTTCATCTGCACCCATATCTGCCAGTGAATCTGTCTTACTTTATTTTCCAGATTTTAAATTAAGTGGTTGCAAATGTCTTTTTGGAGTGAGACTCTACCTTAAGTTTCACCTCCTTTTCCTGCAAATATTTTTTTTAAGAGAATACGCCTTTAATTTTTAGGAGAACAATTCAATACCTCAGTTAGGGGACTAAAATTGCACTTTCAGATTGTTTGTGTAATGTTATAGGACATCGCTTTGTCAAATTTATAAAGAACAATTCAAAAAATGGCTCTTACACAGTAAATTACAAAGATCCAATCGTAAGTAAACTAAGAATAAGAGGCTCTTTATAAAATTTAAACAATAAACTTTTGTTAGATGTCACGAGTCGTATTTACATTCATTTTGCAAGTCTATAGATTGCAATTTATGAACTTCCCTTTAAATAAATCTTTATCAAACATAAATTTTCGCCGAAATACATTAGACACTGTTCCTCGCTTCAACGCTTCAGTGAAAAAAGTTTGTGAAGATCTTTATAAAATCTTCTTTTTTAACCCTCTTCCCCGCAGTCACGCATTTTAACGCATATACCATTTCCTATTTCTAACGCAAAATCACGCATATACCGTTTCCCCGCAATCACGCATTTAATGACGATATGTTCAATTATGAAGTTTGCTGCTCTTTCGAGTAAAGAAATACGTCGAATGTTCATCATTTACATTTTTTCAAGACGTGAAGTGTAAGGAAGTGCTATAGGAAAAGAATATTGGGGAAATTATGAAAATCGTAAAAAAAAGTTTAACAGTACAACAGCAGATGTGTCGAGAGTAATTGATTGATAGTATTTTGTTAAACATCCCGATTTGGTCATTTTTCACTCATACAGAGAGGTAACCACATACAGTTGAAGGGATTTAAATTAAGGCCTATATTCGGCACTTAGGGCCATTAAAAAGTGAGGATTCTTTATCGTGCCAACGCCTATTGTGACACGGAAACTCATTCGAAAGACCATATACTTTTACTATTAGTGCCGGGCACTTGGTGAAGAAACAGTATTGCCTTTGTTTATGTCTATTTTGTCTCAGGCGCGGCGAACTAGAATCGAACCCGGGCCTCCCCTTCACGAAGCGAAACCGACAATCAAGAATTTCTTCTACATCAAAACACTATGAAGAAAGTCTTTATTGCTTCATGTATGATGATAGTTGACGATAATGTAAAGTGTTATATAAGGCTACAAATACATGTAGCCATCATAAAGTGTTTTGGAAAAACTTAGTAGTTCTATACAGGAAATCATCGGAGTATATTATAAAAGGGACCAAGCAGTCTCTGAAAGCTTAACAAAGTCTTCTTAAAGCAAAAGGGATTGGTAACAGACCACAACCAAAAGTCTCTGATGAGTTTGTAGCTCTAATGGTTTGTACTTGTAACAAAGGAAGAGAAAAGTAGCATGGGGACTTGAAACTGTGCAGTTAATGCAATCAGACGAAAACTGTAGGAGTAGCCTTTCAAAAGAATTTTACAGAAATTTCGATTTCAGTAACCACGTCAACATCATTCATCAATATCAAAAATCGATAAAGATAATTAAGCATTTTAGTAAAATGAACTTTTGTGCCAAGTTATATTGTAATCAGACCAAAACTGTAGGAGAAGTAGCGTTTTGAAAGCATTTCTCAGAAAATTCAATTGGTAGTACCCATGGCAACACCGATATACAAATTTATGTATCCTAGTGCAATCTACTAGTGTGTCGAGTTATAATGAAATCATACCAACAATGTAGGAGGAGTTACACTTCAGATGTTTTTCACAGAAATTTCTATTTTTAATAACTATGGCAGCATCGATCCCCAAAATCAAAAAACGATAAACAGAATTATTGTCACTTTCACTGAAAGTGGGGGATATTAAGTTGGGTCTGTCCGTCCGTCTGTATTTCTGCCTCTCGTTTCCGCGCGATATCTCGAGAAGCCTATGAGCTTTTACATAACTCCATGTGGCCCAAGGAAGACTCCTATAGATTTTGAAGTCAAAAGGTCAAGGTTGTAAATTCATACATTATGTCTGTCACTCTCTACCATCGACTCGTACATTCACCTCTGTCGTTGGCTCGCGTATATTACAGTATTAAGCACAAGAAATAGTGCGATTGTTTTCATTCATTATAATTAAAATTCCTGCACTAATGTTTGTCTTTTAAGGTATATATCTACTAAGAAGATCTAGAGCATTTATTTTAATTTGAAATAATCTATGGAATATCATGTTTTCTACCTTATGTCAAAAATTTTGATGCAAGCCCATTGCAAAGGTGTCTGAGAGAGGAACGAACGACAGCTCTGCATAGGAGATTGTATGTCTGTGTGCAACACCTTCGTCTCGGGCGATATCTCAAGAAGTTTCTGGGCTTCTGCAATGAATTTTTATACCATCCCTATGGCCCCGCCCGCCCCTCCCAAAGTGTCCCACCCTGTTTTTTTTTTTTTTTTTTTTTTTTTTTTTTTTTTTTAAGTCAGTTGGAAATTTGTTGGCATCGATCACGCTCAAAGTTTCAGAGTTACTCTTCGTTTGTATTAGAAGTCGCGTGACACTATATTTAGGACAGGAGCATGTGGAGAGTTATTACATATAATACAGGTTGTCGGCGGACTTTATATTCTAATAATAACATCTATTAGAACTGTTTAGTAAAGGATAATCGAAATACCATGTCTTGTCTAAAATTTTGACAATTAATATCGAACGTGAATATATATATATGTATATGTATATGTGACCTGCTGTTTGCATTTGATTTGTATCGGTGTCAAGCGCCTCGTTGATCTAAGGGTATGATTCTCGCTTTGGATGCAAGGGGTCCCGGGTTCAAATCCCGGACGATCTATTTTTTAAAAAATGTTTTTTTCGGTTTACTAAATGATAGTATTCAACATATGAAATGAAGAAGTTATGACGACTAGCGTGTACAAACCATCTAATAAAATCATTATAATAGTGTGTTAAATATTTTATATTAAAAGAATCCTCAGTTTCCATTTTAAAGAACAAGTAGTCAAATCTATATATCCATTTTGCCATTTTTTTTATTTCCTTCAGAATATACATTTAACTCTGAATATCGGGGGGGGGGTCCCCAGATCTGCGCATATGCTCTTTTTTTTCTTAAGCTGGGGGACACAAATTCTCTGAGTTAGCTTGTATATCTTAGTGTAATCTACTTTTGTGCAAAGTTATACTGAAATCAGGCAAAAACTAAGGAGGAGTAGCATTTTTAAGGTGTTTAACAGAAAATTTCCATTTTTAGTAAACATGGAAACCCTGTTCATCGAAATCAAAAACCGACAAAAAGAATAATGTATCTTAGTTCTTCAAAATCAGTGTTGAATACAATGTACTTTTAACATACCAGTCATCCAAGATTAGTTCGAACTAATCTACCTTTACTGGATTCCTTCATAAAAATCCTTACAAACAAAGATACATTGCCGGGTCCAGCAAATGGTCTACCAAGCCCCTATCTTTACCCCTTACCAAAATATTAACTGCTGTTAAGGAGAGACTTCAGACGTACTGTGCTTCAGCTTAATTAAGGAGGAATGCCACACAAAAATTTTACAGCATATTCTAAAAGTGGTATTAATCAGATGTAGGTCCTTAAAAAGAACTGAAAAGGAAAAAAGTTTATATTACCAAAATACCAATTTTCTACACTTTAGTTTATACAACCAATCCTCACGATAAAAACTAGCCTTTTTGACGTCATAGACAACAACTTAATCAATAAAAACAGAACTCGAACATTTCCACATCTTGTGATTGGTCATTAACATAATTACTTAGTTAAAATCACTCAGATTCTACACACTAGTACTTTGAAGTTGATATTAAAAGGATGCTGGAGTTCCCCATTGACAGCATTGATTTAGTCTTCGGAGACCAAGTTTTCCATCAAACTTTTGGGAATCCCGATCGGCATTTATGTGCTCCTTTATTATTCGACCTATTCTTATACATGTATTCCCATGAAGCAGAATTTATGCAAAAACTTACAAACATTTACCGTGGGCGAAATTCGACTTCAAATATAACGACGACGTTTTATCAATTAACAATAAACTAGATGAAATCCCGCGCAAGCGCGGGGAATAATTTATACTACTACCGACAGAAAATATATTGTAGTTATGTTCCCCAAACGAAGTTTGGGAACATATTGTTTTTACTCTGTTTCTTATTATTATTATTAAGGTCTTCCGTCTCCACGGAAGACCTTATAGTGATTCTATTGTTTCTTATTATTATTATTCTTTTTTTTTTAGACAAAATTTTGTGCACGCGATTTCTCGAAAACTATTCAATGAATTTCTTTGAAATTTTCAGGGATAAAAGGTCTTTATATGAATTTTATATAAAATTCCGTTTTTTGGTAAATTCGGTTCCAGTGCCAAGTTATGGACAATTTCCTGATTTTAAAATGAAATTTTGTCCTCGAAGGATCTAAGAAACGGCTAAAGATATGAACTGGAGACTTGTTAAAGATGATAGACCATGACTTTTAGATGTTCAAAATTGCCTTGGTTTTCGTCGTCAGTACTTCCGGTCGTCACCGGAAGTGTTCAAAGAAATCGAAAATTTCAACTTTTCTTTTTTTAATTAAATCTTCCATCACATTATTGCAACTCTTTCGCAGTTTCGAAATATGTTGGTCCCACCGGAAACAAAAACGACAACTTCCGGTTATAAGAGAAAAACTTCAAATTTGAGTATTTTACTTTCCAATAAATATCTTTTATAGGTAAAGTATTTGAAATGATTTTTAGATATGTTATTCAGATTGCAAATGTCTAGAGTAACGTCAAATATCTTTGCAAAATTCACTTCCGGTCGCGTGTTTTTCTGTCCTCAAAGTAAGAAAATATCTGAGTGAGATCTCAGAAACGGTAAGAG